CTGTACATTATTTTAACTCTCTCAGGTCGACAATATCATATGTGACAAAGGATGGCATAGATAAATGAATAATATTTGCATGCTTTCATGAGACATACTTTCATTTTGCCCATATGAGTAGTGCGGTTCCTGTGAGAAGTCAGGAACACAGCCTCTGATTGGTTGAAAGACACGACCCAAGGCATGAGTGGATGGCTAACAGCCCTGCTAAAAACAATAATGCTACTCCAAAAAGACAGTGCAGTACAAGGTTGGAATACAAAGCTTCTGAAAAGGACACAATCACAATGGATTGAAATGGCAAGACATTAACCTTCTGGGAAAAAATGAAAGAGTTTCTAACATGCAGCATTCCTAAGATGTTGGTTCTTTTATGTACATCGTCCTTTAATGTCGCATACAACATCGACCTGAGAGAGTTAATGATTTTCAACTGTACACTACTCTGTGGAAGCGAAAAACCTCTAACCGTTTCACTGTTGGACTGTGTGTAATTGAAAGCTATTAGACTTCACTTGAACCCCAGTGAGTAAGCGTTTGTTCCTGTAACACTTCTAGTCAGCTAAAGAATCTGCACCATCCTGCGTGTGTTATTTTCAGTAATGGAGGAGAGGAAAACTACAGTAATGAGAGACACTCTAATGATAATGATGTACTGATGATGAACGACTCAAATATTCCATCATCACATAAGAACAGTGACATCACTCCCAACAGAGCCAGACTGCTTTTATTTGTTGTGTCTTTTTCTCATCAGTGAACTTCACTGTCTCTACATTTCTGCAGTGCAGTGGGATTATGCACAGGAGCATTGTGGGAAGGAAGGAGGGAGATGAAGTCAAAAGCTTTCATTCAGATCAGAGACTTTGTTCATCATGTGAACATCAAACTTGATTTATGTGACTGTTTTCGGAATTAAAATTTATTACACGTGATTAGTGTGTAAAATATCCCATTACAATCAGAGTAAGAAATCAATAAGTTTAGTTATTTACTTACCAAAAAAAGAAATATCTGGGTAAACAAAAGAAGGCAACACAATATTAGATGGAACTCAAAGAAAACAGTAACACCACTTACAGTTAGAATACCTGGTACACAGTCTTTTTAACTCATTATCTCCTTATCAGAATCCCCTTTTATCATCTGTACTGTAGTTCTTCATCCTTCACTACTGAACTGTCACACAATGCTTTCAGTACAACTCCATGAAGACGTTCAGCTAAACAGTTAAAGTGTAAACCTACAGCAGAAACTCAACCCTTATAGAAATGATTCTATTCTAACAAACTCTGCCTTGAACATCTGTATTTCCATTTCTGTCTTTTTATCTATCATTCTGAGATGAGACACTGATGTTGAGTTTATCTAGAGTGAACGTCTGGAATACTTGCTCTTCACTTGTCTTACTCCTACTGTACACTCCTCTGTTGTGTCTCCATTGGTGACCTGACACAGATAATGTCCTAAATCTGACTCTCTACAGTCTCTGATCTGTAAGGAGACGTTTCCTCTCTGCAGCTCCTGAGTGAACAGACTCACTCTGCCCTCGTAGCCCCTCCCCTCTGTCACCTGCCTGTTCTTATAGAGACAAACACAGTCCGTCCCCTTAAACCACCTGATCTCCATGGCAACAGCACTGGTTTCAGGAGACAGATGACAAAACAGAGTGAGAGCAGAGTCAAAGTGATAATCTCCATCACCACGAGGGCCATAGAGTTCAAACTCATCTGTGTAGAAACACACACACACACACACACACACACACACACACACATTAATAGTTGTGTCTCGTGTGTCTCCACAATAAAAATAAACTCTCTGATTGAATATTATTTAATGATGTTCACAGTAAAACCTTTTGTAGGTTCTGGAAGTTTAACTTACTGTTACTTGCAGTCGCCATTTTTATCTCTCATTATCTAAAAAATACAATTGAAAAAATTAACCCCAATATACACATTAAATTAAAGGGATTAGAAATTAAAAACCAACTGGGCATCTTTATCAACATTACCGATCAATAAACCCTTTGACACTGTTGAAGGCTATAATAAGCATATTCACCTTTTAGCCGTCCTGATAAGAGCCCTGTCAGCGTTCTCTCAGTATCCACACAGCCAGGTCCAGCACCCTTGTTCTTCTTACTAACAGCTAGTTTTGCTGTCCCTAACAAATAATTTAATAAACATCCCTTTTTCCTTACAGTAGCCCCAGCAATAAAAATCTTCTTAGAAAACTCCTCTCTGAACCCAAAGCAGTATCTATTAAGAAAGTGACAGATCTGACAATTTAAACTGTAATTCTCAACCAGCGTCATCATCTCAGGTCTTCAGATTCATATTCTGAGCTGCAGTAGTGATTCATCAGCTGCTGGAAGAAGAACCCTTAAAGCTTTAGGACACTACAGTAAATGTATGTACTTCTGTTATATTTATATTAATGTACTGTACCAATGAAAGATTCACATGTTGCTTCTACACTAAATAAAGTCTCTTGTGTGATTTAAAATTTGTCCTGCATTAAATGCACATCCAACAGTTTCTGTATAATGTAATGTTTATATACACTGTGGATTTTGTAACATCTGACTTGTTTTTCTGTGGGTTTGTTCTGACCACCTTGTAAGGACAGATCTGTCATTGCATGGGTTTATATGGGTAACACTTTACTTACGGACAGTCTTTGTGAGAAACTTATGACAACTGACATAAATCTACATAAACTCACGTAACTCTCATAACATCCATGAAAAGTGACTTTTTATTTAACCAATATAAGATTGTCTTTACACTTTCTTAGCTGAAATAACAGAGTACATTAAGTTTTTAGTGGCATTTCTTCCTTAACAGTATTGAATCAATTTCTCAGTGTCTTCTGTTTATAGTGTCCTTTTGACATACGATACTTAAAAATATATTGAATATATTTAATGTTGCTATGCTTTCTATGGTTGCCAGGAACTAGAAACTTTCAAGTTGACTTTATATATAAGTGAAAGATTTTGAATGTCATGAGGTGATAAATGAAGAGCCTTCATACACGCATGGATTTTAAAGTTTACTTGCGATCTTCATGAGCTGAAATCACAAACAATGCACATTTTGTCAGCTCTGAAAACATGGCTGTACACATAACTCTTGCAATGCACTCGATTGTACAGGACCCTTTCGCTGCACTAGATGCCTAAATGCCTGAGTGAGCAGTGCATTCCTGATATGTGTTCCCCAACAAAGTATACTGCAGCTATTTATAATGAGGTTTACAGAGCAGAGTGAAAACAAGAACTAAAAAAAGTCCCACATTGTGCTGTGACATTCAAAGTAGTATGTAGTAGTATCAGAAGTTGTGTGGTGAAGCCTTATGAACTCTGTCCTTTAGGAAAGTCCTATCAGGATGTAATATGATAATATCAAAGAGGAACACATTGTCTAAATGTATAGTTACTGAAATTGTGCAATTTCACTGCTTTTCCATGGAAACATGTAAATCTACAGTTTACAGTCACCATCTCACTCTCAACACTGAGGGGTTTGTAGGGTTCAAACAGTATTTTTAGCACTGCTTTTGGCTTTGTTTCTCCCTGTAATTTAGCCATGATACTGTCATAACTATCAATCAGCTGTGCTCACTAGCTGTCATTTCAAGATGACACCTGCTCTTTTAGACAGTGATCTACCAATGATCTACTAATAACTAGAAATCATAGTGTTGATATTAAAAAAACAATCTACACTAAAAAAATGAAACTGCTTTTTTATGTTGTCATAATTTTGATCAGGCCACTGCAACTTTTATTGAAGACCTGCCTTCCTTTTCATCTGATTAGTCAGAACAGAAGTAACACTTGTGATGTCAGCTACTCTACTGCTTCTAGTTGAATTTTTTTAACTCAGGGTGCCCAGAGGGCTCCGCACTGAAGACAGCAACACGCAACATGCGTCTCTCAACAACAAAAAAAGGCACCTCGGTCCACAAAAACATCCACTGTGAATCACCTGTACATATTAACTTGTGTTACATATAAAAATAAACTTGTGAAACAGTGTCATGATGGCATTAGATGACATTCATATTTCTTTTAGCAATTCTATGGTAATGAGTGTCGTACCAGTTTTTGTGGGTTATTATGTTAGACAGCTGCTCAAGTGAAGTGAAGGCCCAAGTGAAGTCGATATGCAGGTTAAATCAAACAGCTGATGTGCAAAGATGAGGAAAAACAACACAGCAATCTTAAACATCTAAACCTAATCATCCTAGGCTAAAGCATAGAGCCACAGCAGGCATGAAACACGTTCATGGTTTATATTTGTCTTACCTGTAATGACTTAATGCGCTGAAGTAACGTCTGTCCAGGCGTCTGAACGTAATTGCTACATCATTTAAGATGGAACAGGAAATTAAGCTCACTGCATCTTCATCTAGTCTCTATCCACTGTATAAGTCTCAATTACAGTCAGTAAACAGGGGCTGTATCACTTAAGATGGGGCCACTGGTTTTACCCCTAAATTACTACAGATATACACCTGGATGTTACATTTGCAGTTTGAGTGTTCTTGTGCTGTGAGCTCATTCAATAGCTCTGGTCTGCTGGGAATTCTCCCGACTCCCAAGTACAGCCATGGATGTAGGTTTTTTGAGACGCTTCATCCACAGTAAGCGCTGGTAAGCCTGATTAAAAAACAAAACGAAACAATGAAGTAGATTTTCTTTTATTTTTTTTAAGTTATAGACAAGCACAAGATAGGAAAACAATACAATATAATATCCAGCTGTTTGGAAAGTGCATTTCACAAGCATTCCTTTGACTGATGTGAGAAGTGATCAGATTATTAATCTGAGTTGTGGAGTTTCCATATTATTCAGCAGATGATGATGAAGCTCTGACTTGAGACTCATCAGTGCATTCTTTAAAGTGGTCACTGCTACAGTCCAGCAGCAGAAATGAAGGAGACTCAGGGGTCAATCTGCTGCTGTCAGTGTGTCAGTTTCACTCTCACTGAAACAGCACTTCTCTTTCACTGCTGCATCGTGATTGACACAACACCGTTAAATCATAAGAGGATTTATAGTGTGAAGAAAAAAATAAAAAGGTGGAACAACCAGCATTAAAGCCATAACAGCTCTCAGTTTAAGAGGAGTAAAGGAATGAAAACAGGTTCAGTCCATTTAGATGCGGCTGCCCTCTTGTGGTCAGAGAACAGATTGAGGTGAAACTGAAAGTATTTGTGGTTTCCGCTCTGGACGCTAAAGTGGAGAGTCGTGTGTGAGATTAGTGGAGAGTTTAAACTCGGTCTTATTATTATGGATCTGCTGTTATAGACAAAAACCTGATATGAACTGATTTAAAATGTGGACATATTTCACCACCAGCAGCGATATGACTATGAAGAACAGCGAAGGTAAGAGCAGTTAGTATCTCTCTCTCTCTCTCTCCCTCTCTCTCTCTTTCTCTCGCAGGAACTTTCCAGGTGCTGCAGAGCGCTCTAAAGCTGTGGTCAATTCATTAATATACATGTTGAATAACGTTGGGCTCTCTCGGCCCCCCCCCCCTCTCCTCTCTCTCTCTCTCTCTCTCTCTCTCTCTCTCTCTCTCTCTCTCTCCCCCTCTCTCTCTCTCTCTCAGACTGGGTGTGAAAATATCTTTTCACAGTAGGATAAAGGGGGATAATGCTATAGGCACAGAGCAGTCCGGTGAAGGATGCAGCGTTAACGTTAGCGCTGTACAGGATCAGGTTGATAACACAGACAAAGAGATATGACAGCCTGAGAACGTTAAAGGAGCTGCGGAAACCGTACATGAGTCAGAGTTCTCAGGGAAAACTAGTGGAGAGGGAATTAGAGGAAGAGGAGGTGGGGGTGAGTGCAGAGGCTAGAAATACACAGCGTGAGACCCCAGTGGAAGTAGCTGAGCTGGTTAGTGAGGGAGAGGAGAATGGGGATTCTTTTTCAGACCTTATGGGTATTTCTGATTTGGGTCTCAGTCAGAGAGAGAGAGAGAGAGAGAGAGAGAGAGAGAGAGAGAGAGAGAGAGAGAGAGAGCACAGATTTATATTCTTAAAGAGAGAAACTCTTTCATCAATGAGAAATTTGGTAAGACAGTAGAAGTGAAGGATTTTTCCCTGCCATAGATACGTTTGTGGTGTCAGCAGTGAAATTACAACATACAGTTGAATTTGAGGATTTGAGTGAGAAGAAAAGCTTTAGATTGAAAAAAATCTAACTAGATAACTTGGGCATAAAGGCTCAGCAACACAGAAAAAAATAAAGGTGAATGAGTCTCAAGGTGTGCTGTGTTTGGCTTTGGTTTCCTTTCTGTTTCAGTCCTTTCTTGCTTCCTTTCTTTGTATAGAATTAGTGAGAGTGGACTCTTTGATTATGAATGGGGCAGAGACAGGAATGAAAGAGAGATGCTTATTAATATAATTATCTTGCAGGAGACACACACTGACAGGGAAAATGAAATTGAGTGGTTGATGGTGGGAAGGGAAAAGGATTAGAAGTGAATCTGCTATGAGTAGAAGACACAGTATCAGGGACGGTATTGTTAGTAAAAGCAGATCCAGGCTTTTAAAAGCTTTTAAATTCTTGTTTGTTAACAATTGTGCACAAAATAAAATAGGCTCTTCAGGATTATGAAGAGGCTGAAATAAGTATAATTATGAGACTGAAATTGTACCAAACAGTTTACCATTGATATTAATGAGGAGGAGCCACATAGTCCATCTAATAAAATACTTGCAAAGTTAAGGCTGATCTCATAGATGTGTAGAGGAGTAGGAATAAGGCAGTGACAGTATACATGGCTCAAAGTATGTGAGTCTAGAGTCAGTGGGGCAATATTAGATAGATTTAATGAAGAAATGGTTTAATAGTAGGGTGGTGAATACTTCTGTTTTTCAAAATGTTTGTCATTTTGTCATTTTTCATCATAAAAAAAAAATGTTTTTCATCATACAGTGACTGTGCACATGAGTATAAAGTCTACATGTTGGCCACAATACTGTCGGCAGTTTAAGGTCAAATTATTATGACAGTTTCTTCTGTGATCATTTTATTTTGTTCTGTGAGAGCTGGAGGGCACAGAAAAGGGCGTTTGGAAGTATAGATAGAGATTTGTAGTCAGAATTATACTTATCATGTTACCTCTACAGCAAAGTCAGCAGTTTAAAGGTTGCATCAAGAAACAGAGCGATTAGAAAGAGAAATAGTGGAGAAGAACGGGTTCAGCTTGACAGAGCACTGGAGAAAAAAACAGAAGCTCAGCAGATAAAAGTGGTGCTTGAGAAAAGCAGGAATCTGTTCAGTAGTAGAGATGGATGATCCCAGTACATACTTTTTATTTAGAAAGGAAAGTGGTGCAGAAAAAACAGATGATGTTTTCACACAGGATTGATGGGACTTTGACCTCTGACCCAGCTGAAATGAGGAGGCTGGCTGTGTATTATGTGGATTTGTAATGCATGGAAGGACTGAAGGTGCAACAGAACTGCTACGAGACCTTTTACAGTTGCGACTGAAGAAGAGGGAGAAGTTGGATTCTCTGATTCAATTCAAGGAAATTACAGTTCCACAGCTGTTGGCAGGATGACAGTAAGTTCTCTGGGTGTGGTCAAGTTGTCAGCTGAATAACTTGTGCTGTGGGCAGTAATGCTCCCCCACACCATGACAGATTTTAACATTTTGCATCTTTCACTGATAAAAGTCTGAATGATTAATTTCATCTTTGGCCCAGAGATTTGTATGTCTGTGTTTCCAAATACAAGTATAAACATGGATTCCTCTGACCACAGCACACATTTCCATTGTTTTTCAGACCACCTGAGATGAGCTTGACCCAGAGAATGCAGTGTTTCTGCATAAAATGAATGTATGGTTTTCTTCTTGTACAGTAAAGTTGCGTCTCTTGATGTAGTGGTCGACTGTGTTTAGTGACAACTGTTTTCCAAAGTACTCCTGAGCCAATGTGGCTATACTGAACACTGTAGCATGACAGTTTCTCATGCAGTGCTGTCTGAGGGCTGAAGTTCACACATTCCACAGTGGTTTCTGGCCTTGCCCTACTGAGATTTCTCTGGATTCCCTGAATTTAAATTCTTTGCAGTCGTGCATTAAAAAATGTTCTTTATGAACTGTTTGATAATTCTCTCAAGAAATTTGGTACAAAGTGGTGAGCCACATCGCATCTTTGCACACAAAAACTGAGCTTTTGCTTTTATACCCAGTCATTATACCCTCACCTGTTACCAGTTCACCTGCTTATTGTGGAATGTTTTAAAATGCTGTAACCTAAATATTCTATGAACTTTTCTATAAGCTGGTCAGCCAAAACATTAAAAGTAATGTCTTTGTACTTTTGTCAGCTAAGAATATAGATTATACAGCATCACTACAGTATGAAGTATGAAACGAACTGAACTAAATCACTACAACTTCAGCGTCTCACACAACAGAACTCTGTATTTACTAATATGATAAAGACACTATTTACATTCAGTCTAAAGCAACATTAACATCACCTTTAGGGTCACAAATGATTTCAATGAATTTGTGTTTGTGGAAGAAAATAATAATGAAACACTACAAATAAAATCACCACAAATGACTAAAACTAAAACAGTGTCCAGTCTTCTCTGCAAAGAAATGATAAAAATAAAAATACTACAACTACTACTAATAATAATGATAACAATAATGGTAATAATAATAATATTAATAATAATAATAACAGACAGGCAGTATACTGAGTAAATAAAGTAAGTATATGTATATACACATACAAACACAGTGTTTTTTTTTTCTTTTTTTTTTGCTATAGTTACTGCTATAAGTAATAGAACTGTATCTTTGACTGATGATACTACCTCTGAGAGGTCTCCTAGGAGACATTGGAATGCTGCTCCCCAAATATAAAGATAATTTTGAGGTTATATGTTCCCAGAATCAGTGGACTGACGTGCGAGTCCAGAATGTATGAGAACAGTCATCAGTTGTTTTAGTTATACATTGTGTACATATGCTTGAATTGCTAAGTCCCATTTTGGACAATTTATACTGTGTAATGTGTGTCCTATGAGCCCTGTGACCCAGAAGGAGAAGTGGTTTAGATTATGTGTGTGTGTGTGTGTGTGGGTGTGTGTGTGTGTGTGTTTGTCCTATTTAATTGTATGTTTGTGTTGTTACTCATAATGAAGATATTTTTACAGATTTGTGTCCAGAATTGTGTATCAGTGCTAATATCTAAATCCTTTTCTCACTAATTAGTTGGTATTGATATAGCTGAATTTAAAGTACCTATGAGAACATATAGCTCTGGTAAAACTTGATTGTTAATTGTAATCATCATCATCATTATCTTCCGGCACCGCTCGAGGTGGCTGCCTGTTCCAGTAGCTCCATGTCTGTGTCTCCTGTTTGTAAATAGTGTCTTTTTACCCACTTTCTTTCTTTTCTGGATATTGAGACCTGGTCTAAAGTTGTTATACAACTTTTAAAAAACTTTTATTTACTTTTTAATGGATCATTCAACGGAACTTTCAGACTATGACTGCACTGAGCATTCTCAATTTGTCTATATGAGGAATCAGCTGATCGCGCCAAGGAAGCCGGTGGCTTTGTTTACATCGCAGCGGCCAGTGATTCAAATGGAGCTGAGACGTCCTTACCGGGGCTGCAGGGTGGGAGATAAACAGTGACAAGAGAAGTGGAGATACAAATCAAATCTTCCTGCAATAATTATGGGAAACGTATGGTCACTGGTTAACAAAATGGACTAACTGTCAGCTCTAACACAGACACAATGGGAATACCAGGAATGCAGCATTTTGTGCTTCACAGAATCATGGCTGAGACCCTGCATACCAGACTGTCATGTTCATCTGAATGGTTTTTCTACTGTGAGGGCGGACAGAGACCACACGCAAACTGGTAAGAAGAAGGGAGGAGGGCTGGCTGTGTTCGTGAATAACAGATGGTGTAATCATGGTCACATCACAGTTAAAGAAGTAATCTGCAAGCCGGACATTGAACTGTGTGTTCTAGCTATGCGCCTGTACATCTGCCGCGCGAGGTTTCCCAGAACATCCTCTGCGCTGTGTACGTTCCACCTTCTGCTAACGCGGACACAGCCTGTGATGTCATCTACTCAACCATTGTGAGAGTGCAAAATTAGAGCCCTACTGCCTTCATTGCAGTGTCTGGAGACTTCAACCATGTTACCCTCTCATCATATCTGCCCGCTTTCAGCCAGTTTGTGGACTGCAAGATAAGAGAGAACAAGACTTTGGACCTGCTGTATGCCAGTGTTAAAGAAGCATGTAAATCCACTGCTCTCCCCCCACTGGGTCGTTCAGACCATAACCTGGTTCACCTCAACTCACGGTATAAATGCCTGGTTCAGAGACAGGCAGTGACCACAAGGACAGTGAGGAAGTGGTCACCTGAGGCTGTAGAATCACTGAGGGGTTGTCTGGATGCTACACAATAGGATGTCCTGTGTGAACCACATGGTGAGGACATCGTTGCAATAACATCATGCATGACTGACTACATCAACTTGTGTGTGGACCCTCCAGGACTGTCTGGTGCTTTCCCAACAACAAACCCTGGGTCACCCGTGACGTAAAATCTCTGAAGAACAGAAGAAAAGAGCATTTATGGCAGGAGACAGGGAGGAACTGGAGAGGGTACAAAAAGAGCTTAAACCTCAATTAAGAAGGTTCAAGCTGGAAAACTAAAAAACTACAACTGAATAACACTTGTGATGTCTGAAGAGGCCTAAAAGACATCACTGGCTTCAACCAACGAGGCCTATTCCAGCAGAGGGTAAGCGTGAATGGGCGAATGAGTTAAACTAATTCTTTGTGAGGTTTGAGAACGGCTCCTCTCCTGCTCCACTGTGTCTGTCTCCTACACAGATTAACACACCTACACAAACCACAACACGCCATGGGCCATCCACAGCCTCACCCTGCTCCACCACAGCCATTCACATCTGTGACCATCAGCAACCACTGTCTGCAATGGACGCCTCTCACCCACCCCCCACATTTGAAATGTCCAGTGATAGTACATTCACTGCTGATCAGGTGAAGAAGGAAATGAAAAAAACTTATGGCAGTGATGTTGAGAGTTCTTGCACATGGAAAGTAATTGTAAACTACTGTCTACTGAGTGCCGTGACTGTTATAGAGTCTGACAGCGGCTGGGAGGAAGGACCTGCGGTATCTCTCCTTCACGCGTGCCGCAGCCGGGCACTGAAGGAGCTGCTCAGTGCTGTCAGAGAGCGGTGCATGGGGTGGGACAGGTTCTTCAGCATGTTTGTTAGCTTAGTCCTCATTCTCCTGTCCCCCACCACCTCCACTGGGTCAAGAGGACATCCCAGGACAGAGCTGGACTTCCTGATGATCTTATTCAGTCTCTTCCTGTCAGCAGTAGAGATGCTGCTGCCCCAGCACACCACTCCATAAAAAATGGCTGATGCCACCACAGCGTCGAAGAAGGTCCTGAGAAGTGCCCCCTGCACGCCAAAGGACCTGAGCCTCCTCAGGAGATGTAGCCTGCTCTGGCCTTTCCTGTAGAGGGCAGCTGTGTTGTCAGTCCAGTCCAGCTTGTTGTTGAGGTGAACACCCAGGTACTTATAGGACTTCACAATCTCAATGTCCATTCCCTGGATGTTCACAGGCACCGGAGGAGAATGTTTGGACTTGCAGAAGTCCACCACCAGCTCCTTGGTTTTTCCTGCGTTGATCTGCAGGCAGTTCCTCTGGCACCATTCCACAAAGTCCTGCGTCAGTTCTCTGTACTCCCTGTCATCTCCGTCTGTGATGAGGCCGACGATAGCAGAGTCGTCAGAGAACTTTTGCAGGTGACAACTGGCAGAGCTGTACTTGAAGTCTGCAGTGTAGAGGGTGAAGAGAAAGGGAGCGAGGACAGTTCCCTGTGGAGCCCCCGTGCTGCAGACCACCGTGTCCAACTGACAGCCCTGGGTCCTCACATATTGCGGTCGGTTAGTGAGGTAGTCCAGGATCCAGGTGGTGAGGTGATGGTCCAGGCCCATGCACTCCAGCTTGTCCTTCAGCAGTGTGGGTTTGATGGTATTGAAAATCAAAAAGAAATCAAAAAGAAATCAAAAAACATGATTCTCACAGTGCTCCCAGCATTCACCAGGTGAGAGAGAGAGCTGTGTAGGAGGTGGATGATGGCATCCTCCACTCCAATGCCAGGTTGGTAGGCAAACTGCAGTGGGTCCATTGAAGAGCTCACCAGGGGGCGCAGGTGGACAAGAAGCAGTCTCTCCAGGGTCTTCATCAGGTGAGATGTCAGTGCCACCGGCCTATAGCTGTTGAGGTCTTTGGGGTGTGGGGTCTTTGGCACTGGCACCACGCAGGATGTTTTCCACAGCTGTGGGACTTTCCTAACCTCAAGCTGAGGTTAAAGATGTACCCGACCACGTCACACAGCTCGTTCGCACAGGTCTTGAGAAGCCTTGAGCTGATGGCATCTGGACCTGCAGCCTTCCTGATCTTCATCCTCCTGAGCTCACTTCTCACCTGGGATGTTGTGAATGTGAGGCTGGAGTAAGGGAGAACAGT